GTGTTTCACAGTACAGATGAAATATTAGCACATTTCAATCCGGATCGCATGACGGTGAGCCAAGGACTTCTTCGGACAATTAAACAGTCTTCCCTAAGCAGCACTCCTTCGGTTTCCGATAAAACCACATTAAGAATTTTTTCCAACCAACTTTCCCTTCGAAATGGGGAAATATTTCCTTGAGGAATTTTTCTTAATCCAGTTTTTTTTCATATATTTTAACCTAATAACCTTGATCTAACACTTGTCTCAAGATTCTGATATAGCATTGATTGCTTTTCTTTCATCGAAAACCCTTTACAATTGATTGGAGCTAAGATATTTGCAACTGAAAACTTATAACAAATATGAGACGTGTATACCTCAACCTGGGCTTCATTCCTTCTTTGGCCCAACTTTTCTGTACTTACATACTTTAGCATTGTCTCTAATGTTTCTAATGTTAATTGAGACAATTTTCAGTTTAAACTTTGCATAAAATATAATTAGGCCGTTCATCTTTCCCTTTTACTTAAGAATTTCCTCTGCGCTGAACAGGGAACTTTTTATCTATATATTTGTGAAGATAAAATATTGCTCAACAATAGAAATGAAGCAAGCTCAATATATTTTCGATCTGAATAAATTAAAATTTTATTTTTGAAAATTTGATATTGCAGCTCATTTGAACTTCCTAAACTTATTATTTTTATTATCTTTGCTTAAAACTTACATAAAATTCATACATTTTTGAAAAATGTATTAGGCTCCCAGTTAGACACATGTGAATGTCTGGATACATCAACCCTTAATTGCACTTGGCAGCTAATGCGCCAGCATCTGCGCCGACCGCGTAACGGACACTCAGCAGCTGCCATCGGCTCCTGCATTTATGCCATCGGAGGTAGTTGGGAGGAGAAAACGGTAGAACGTTTGGATACCTCAGACCCTGTAGGTGTCTGGCTTTTCGTCGCGGAAATGCTAAACGAGTGAGTTTGTCACTTTATGATGGTAATTTCACAATATCTCAACAGAACAGGTACTTTATTTTTCCGCAAGTTCACTTGCCTTCTTGCCTAACTAATGATTAACTACGTCTGATTTTTCGATTGCCTTTAGTTATTATGCTAGTCCTTCAATATCAATTTTCAGAGTGCACGCCCACCTTATATATACTCTTGCTTAAGACCTAATGATACCAAAGCCATTCCATATTTATTTGTGACTTCGTTGTATTGCCATCAATTCACTCTGCTTTTTTCGAGTCTTGACTAGTTTAATCCATTTCCCCAGCCCTTTCTTCAGCTCATAATGATTACGCTAATCTAAATACATGTTACACAACGTTTTACTTGAAATATTCCCATAAAACCTATGTCCAATTTATTTGTAAGGTAGTTTTTTTAAAGGATAGGTATTCAATTGGCTGCTTGTAATCAAACAATAATTACTACTATGATTTTTGGGATATAACTCGGCTTACAACTTTAAGCAAAATTAAGTACACTTTTATGTATTCTTTTTTGCTAAAATTAAACATATGAATTGCTCGTGTTTTGATGACGGTTATAAAGACTAAAATGGTGTGACCCCTATTTTAGTCACAGTTTCCCTTCGCTGCATAGATGTGGTTTTTCTTCGTTTTTGCAACTTGGCCGCCTTGTCAGGGCCACCTGGATGAACTCACCTTGTCCAAAAACATTTTATCAGTGGTAGTCATCATAATTTCCATCGTCGGATAGTGGAATTCGACATTCCTAGACGAACTATAGCTTGCTGCTAAAATGGTAATAGTCACTGACAACGTCAACTATAGTTCCGGCGAAACCTCTGGGACTACCAAGTCCATTGTCTGGCACTGGAAGGTGTTGTAACTACTACTCCTGACAAAGTGAGTTCATTAGTATTTCCTTATTTGCTCTTTAATTGTGAAGTAAATCAATATATTCCCATTACTTCATTGGGCAAAAAATTGTGTAAAATCTTTGACACCTTGACACTTAACTTTTTTCTAGACCTGCTATAAACCCAAAATGTAAACTTGAAGTCGTGATCCTTCGTCTTGATATCTTGAGGTTCTGAGTTAGTTTTGACTTTAAACTCAAAAGCAGAAGCTTTGA